TACTAATTTTGTTCACTTTGGAAACTTTATAGCATCTTCTGCCTGCAGTACTTTGTACTTTTTAAGCATTAAGTTTCATATTATAGCTTTTGGGTTAAGCATTCGTTATGTACACTTTGACATAAAGAAGCTTGAACAGTGTGTGTTGTGTGACTTAGAATTTCTGAATTTTTCGGTAATGCTGGGAAGAACTTTTGCAGGTTTCAACGTATGTCCTCCCCAAAGAACTAAAAGATAAAACGTTCCATTAAGTTCTCAGTAAACTTATGCTTGTCAGCAAAATACTTGCATAAAAGCTGCTTTTCTCTTTCTTGTTATTAAATTTAAATGAAGTAGACGTTTTCCTAAGGAGTAAGGCAACACTGGTATTCTGATTTTTAGCTTAAATTTATCTTACATGAACCTATGAGAATAATCCCTTTTCAGCTTTTATAATATATAGTGTTTTATTACCTAAACACTACCGAAAGATCAGTTACGTTCAAAATCATATGTGAATATGAATAAAGTTGGTGTGTCAAAGAAATGAGCTTTGCATCTAACTCTAGTGAGTGGCTTCAGTTTTTAAAATGCTATTGTCATCGATGCAGTTTGGTAAGAGAGACTGATACCTTTGTCTCTGTCTGTCTCTTCTCCTCCCCCTTTCCATCCAGTATTGTTGCCCAGATATGGTAAATAACTTTTTCCTGGGAATGACCAAAACAGAATGTTCGAGCACAACAAGCAAGACTGCTGAATCTGAGAAAGGAAAATTGATTATGTTAGTTAACGACTTTTATTATGGGAAGCATGAAGGTGACACCCAGCAGGTACAACAGGAGCAGAAGACTCACACGACATTTAAGTGCTTCAGTTGTCTGAAAGTTCTTAAAAATAACATAAGGTATTTGAACTCGCTTCCTTAATTGCTTCTTAATCACTTACAGCCCACAGCACTTAGTCTCATGCATTAAAAATTTGTCTCTCTGGAATAGAATTTTTTTTCTTCTTGAAAACTGATAATATTGGATGACTGAACAGAAATTGAATTAATTTTTACTATGCATGTATGGCCATAACTTAAACTTTCTACAGATTAGAGTACAAATTTAAATGGTGTATAATTTTAACGAGAGCAGTTGTAGGACTTTCAGGTTAGAAAGGGCAACAGAAAGTATTTTACAATTTGCCATCTGGATTGATGGTAGTATCAGTAGATGTGAGTGTTAATTCCCTTTAGGGATGCACAATGACTAATGGTTGATGCTTTGCTTATGTAACATCTGTTATTTTGATGGAATAATTTTACTTCCAAATGCTGCAAAAAACTTCAGTAAGCTGTTTTAAGAGGTAGATGAATTTGTGTCATTGTTCCTTTGGAAGTTAAGGTCATGAAGTTTTTTACATGCATTCTTCAAGGGAAGCTGAAGTAGCAGAATGTAAAACTGAAAAATGGACCATTCCTTAAAGGGCACAGTCTGCAACTTAAAATGAACAGCTTTATGCTGACATTAGAACCATATAATTGAACAAAACAAAAGTTTCATGTAATTACAAACATTAAATTTGCTATTAATCATTAAGTATGTGTAAATCCAAAGTAAAAGTGCCAATAATTTGTCTTAAGCAGCTTGAAAATGTTGTACGTTGTTAAAAGAGTTTACTCCCATGATTTTATAGTTCCTGTTAATTATGCCATTTCTTCCCTTGCAATTTATCTTTTTAAGAGCAATAAACAATGTTTGATATGGGCCGAGAGGTTTTTCTTCTGGTTTTGTATGCATAATACTTTCCAAATAAGCTTTTCTTGCAATATCATGAAAAGTAGTCCACAGAAAGAATCTTTATTAAGATACTGTGTTCATTTTGAAAAATATTTTTCAGGCACTATTTTCTACTCAGCATTATATTGTAAGTTATTGGTGCTATGGTGCCTATGTTTTCCACAGGAAGTCATTAAAAATGAGCACTTAATTTTTTTCTTTGAATTTCTCTAGAGTTGAGTTTCAGCCATATTAATTTTTGCTGTAACTTTGTAGCTGTATTCCATAGTTCTATAACTTCAGAATTTTTATTCCAAGGTATATTTTACACCTTTAACCATTTATAGTGGACAAAATAAATACATAGTACCTCTCTACTTGTAGTGGAAGTTTTCTGGACCTTAATTCAGAAAAGCACAAAGTGATTCATCAGGGTAATCCCCTGCTTCCTTTAAAAGATCTATGGTTGAACACACCATTGAAAATAATGTTCTGTTAAAGTTATATGCGGTACTAGTGTCAGTTCCTTTCTTCTGCTTAGGTACGTGGATATCCTCAGTTAGCTTTTTTCCTTTTTTTTTTTTTCCCTCTCCCTCCCCTCTCCCTCCCCTCTC